AAAAAAAAAAAAAAAGAAGTTGGCAGGTCAATTAAAATCAAGGTCGATTAGAGGTTGAATAGATATGGTAACATAATATATACTAAAATAAACGCAACATATACCACCATATACGCGAACCGTAATGATGGTATATGTATTGTATATATTTTTCATAATTTTAGTAAATATAAATCATACATATACCGAAAATATACTGAATATAAACGATACATATAACAAGGTGGACGATACAAACACGATACAATATGAGGGGATGAAAAAATATACCAAAAATATACTGAATATAAAACATACAAATATAGAAAAAAAAGTCACACACACAAAACACCAAATCCAGACGAAATCATTGATCAAATTAGTAGAAAAAAATATGAAATCAGTTTTTTAGGAGCTCGACCGCAATATAAGTTTCAAGCAACGTTGACAGGTGGCCACTACGCAACACCTCCATCGTCATCCGTCAAACCATCAAATTCGTCAATTAAAGTACGCCCGACCCGCTTAAACCCCACCCACATACTAATCCCCTAGTTTGTGGTACCTGATCTGAGCATCCATTATTGGATTGTTTGATTCGACGCTTCCTAATTTTCCGTGGAAGATTTGAGAATTCAAACAATTTAAGTTTACATGGTAATTGATGGGAAGTAATTGATGGGAAATTACATGTAAATAGGAATGAAAAGTTATCATGTAATTAGAAAATCGGTTTTTTTAGGTATATACGCAAATAAATATAACAAGTTAGTTAATTTATAAATAATTATATAGAGAATGTAATTATGTAGTATTTTCATATTGTATAAGTGGAGGATGTAATTTCCTCATAAATAATAATATAAATAAATATATTACAACTAGTACAACACCCGTGTATTACACGGGTACTTGCTAATTTTTTTTCTTAAAATCTAAAATTAATGAGAAAAAGTAGTTTGAAAATTTAAATACCTTTTATAAGAATATATATATTATTATATATTTATTATGACACTTTTTATTTGTGCAACTTACTTGTGTTATATTATACTAATTTTTTTAAACTTACAATATATAACTAATTACATATAAATATATCAATTAAAAAATAATTTTATTTTTCAAATGAATTTCAATAAATATTATCATTTTTTATTATTACAAATATAAATATAATTTATTTATTTCATATATATACAATATGGATGTCAAATCGAAGTCCATCAAAAGATGATTAATTTGATATATTATATATGTAAAACCGATAAGAAAT